GAGGTACAGAGAAAGAGAAAGGAGCAATTTTTAAAACATGCTGTTGAGATTACCCAACAAATGCAGGGGAAAGTTGAAGGGAATTGGAAAAAAGAAACACCAAACGACTCTGCAAGGGAAGCCGCAGGCTTGATTCTCCGTGGAGGATGGGACATTTTGGAGATTGCTCATTCCTACAGTCGACAGAAGTTGGACAGCACAGAATAACAACACTGACTTTACGCCAGGTTACAGACTTCTTCTACAGTTATGAGTCCGTAAGCTACAGATTACTTTTGCAAACACTCTAAGCATGCCTCCTTGTATCCTTTCTAAAATTTTTTTTTTCAAAAATGCTTTTGCTCCTTTGGTCAGCTCCTGCTGTTTGTCTCTGACGCGTCTCTGCCCTGGGAAGGGTCCCAATCCGGCGTGTATCAAAGTCTGGCCCCCAAACCCTTGTTCGTGTCCTCTCCGATTTCCACACCTTGCCGCCCTTCCTCAGGCACCAGCAGGGCAGTTTGCCAATCACACTTCATGCGCAATGCGCACCCGGACACATGCCCACGCCGCGGCCCGCCCCACACCTCTCACCTGAGGTCTTGTTCTGCAGGAGAAACTCCATCTGAAGCCTCTGGCCGGCCTGCTCCGCTAAGGCGACCGGGGACGGGTAGCTGGGATCCCCGGAGTAGCAGCTGATCTCGGCCCCGCAGAACAGGAGGGAGAGCGTCTCTGCCAGGTCGCTGGTGGTCACGGCTGCGCACAGCGCCTGCAGAGAAGGAGCCAGAAAGAGAGAGAGAGAGTGAGCCACTCCGGGGACCACAGCAGCATCAGGAGGGGTGGGATGGGGGGGGATAATGCAAAGGGGCAAAAAGAAGGAGATTCGGACTAGGCAGCCCCACCGCACTCTGGAAGGAAGCCTCCGGACGACAACGCCCCAGGAAGGTGGGATCTGGGGCCCGCGCCAGGTGTGTGAGGCCGCTCAGCAGGGACAAAGGGCGACTTTGCCGAGAGAGAAAGAGCCTGCTTCTGAGAGAGAAGCTCTGGACGGCAGGGTGTGTAAGGACGCTGCACCGCCTCTTTATAGGGAGAAACGGCCGGGTCAATCAACTGCCCACGGGTGGAATTCCAAAGTCTCCCTGCTGGCCTGATCAGCGGCCAGGATTTGGTCCGAGGGTGGGGATCCGGCTTCCCAGTAAAGGGAAAAAAAAACAGAGGAGCCCCAGGAGGGTGGGGAGGGGAGGGGAAAGAGGGGTGGGTGCAATTCAATCCAGCCCGGCTGGCCGGCTGGCCTCCCCTCCCTTCGGCCCTGATGGAGAGCAGATGCTTCCAGCAGAAAAAAAAAACACCACCAACATTATAAAGTTAAGAGTTGCAGCTAATTAGCAGCCCTTTGCCTGGAGCAAGCAATACATGAGCTGAACCAACAAGGCTGGGGTTGCACCAGTTTTCAGGCAGTCTTTTTTTTTGGGGGGGGGGGAGAACAGATATCCTGTTCACACAAAAAGGGGGCCATGCCAGGGAAGAGGCCCCCACAGTCAACCATCCCACACAGATGCCAAATCAGGCACCGTGCGGACCTGGGGCTGCTCCCATGCCTGTCGCTTATGGAATTTTTAAAAAGGGAGCCATGTGGCCATGATGAAACACAAATGCAAGAGTAAGCGGAACCTTTATGGGCCACTAAAAAAAATCTTTAAAATCATACACTATGCACTATCCAACCTGCCGCTTTCTCTGACTGGCGTCAGTTCTGCCTTCTGTTCTCTGCAGCAAAGGAAAGACCCATCTTCCAGGACTCAAAATCCAGTTTGCTAACCATTTCCTCCCAGAAAAATCTCCTTTCATTCGGTCTGTTTGCAATTCGTCCCCTCGTCCGTTTTCCGGGTAAGGGTGGGGGAGCTGTTGGCCAAAGAACTAGCCGGATCTCGGAAGGCTGGCTACCAAGCGTGACCAGATTTATGGCAAGCAAACCTTACTGTGGGCGAGGCGCTCTCTGCGAAGGACGGTCTGATCGGCCTCTCCCCGCCCCTCGCCACCTCCTGCACATAATTATCTGTGAATCGTTAAAAGAATGCCCAGTATTTTGGTCAACCATGCCTTCCGGTGAAGTTGGGAATGATTACAGGGGGTCAACGCTTCACCTACAAGAATCTTGTTTCTCCCCACCCAATAGCTCCAGCCCCCACCGTACACGCCATGCAGCCACAGGGGACTTGCTCAGATCCAGAACGTCAACCACCTTCCTGTTAAACTGGTTTGTCTCTTAAAAGAAAAGAGTTGGGTGAGAACACAAGCTTGGCCAACTGCCTGGTGGGCGGTTGCGCAGAGAACAGGGAAGGGAGACTGGCCAGAAAAACACAAATCTGTGGTTTGTTCGACGTTTTAATTCTTCCTTGCCCTTTTCTTTCCAAGTAACGGGGGATGCCGGCGGCCTTATATTTTAGAAATGCAGGTGAAGCCAGAGAGCTTTTCCTTTGCAACTGGATAGGCTGACCTCATGGCCAGATAAACATCCTAGATTAGGGAGTCTTTTAAAAATCGCCAAGTTCTCGCCGCTGTTCTAAAGCTGTGCCATTGCTTCCTGATTCAAGTTTAAAGGTGGCACAAACTCTAATTTCCTAAAATAAACAACATTTCACTGGTTTTTAAAAGTACAGTGGTGCCCCCGCTTGACGACGATAATCCGTTCCATTAAAATCGCTGTTAAGTGATATCATCGTCAAGCAAAAGTAAAAAACCCATTGGAATGCATTGAAAACAGGTTCAATGCGTTCCAATGGGCGAAATACCTCATCATAAAGTGAAGATCCTCCATAGGGGAAGTCATTTTTGATCGCTGTTTTCCGGAAATAGGCCCAGAAACCAGTGGGAGGCCATTTTGAAAACCTGACGATCAGCTGTTTTTGATCGTCGTGAAGTGAAAAATCGGTTCCCGAAGCAGGGACCAATTCAATGTAAAGAAAAAAAAATCCCATTGAATCGTTGTTTCGCCCACGCCCACAGTGAGGTTTGCTTGCCATAAACTAATCGTAAAGCGATTTCATCGTCTAACGGGGTCGTCGTGAAGCGGGGCACCACTGTATCATTCTTGTTATGGTTAGGTGCCATCCAGTGAATAAGAAATCTCCAAAATATCCTGCCCTCAATAGCTCTGCAAAGCTCTTGTAGATTCAAGCCTGTGGCTTCCTTTAAGGAGTCAATCCATCTTGTATTTGGGTCTTCCTCTTTTCCTGCTGCCTCCCACCTTTCCCAACGTTATTGTCTTTTCCAGAGAATCCTGCCTTCTCGGGATGTGCCCAAAGGAGGACAGCCCCAATTTCAACATTTTTGCCTCCAGAGAGAGAAAGTTCAAGCTTAACGTGGTCTAGGTCTCCCTTGTTCGCCTTTCTGGTATTGCCTTGCAACTTTTTTAAAAAAATGTCATCGAATAACCAGATGTGTATTTGGGCACTGAACGGATTGTCATTCCAGTCTCCTTACCCGCATGCAATACGGCTTAGTAAATAAACTTCTAAGAATGTTGGGCGCTAACCCTTCCCAGGAACTATGGGCGATCCTTTCCATTATTCGAGCCTCCTCTTTGGCAGATGGGGGGCACTTTTGGAAGCCTGTTCCCATGGCTGAGAGGATGGAATTGCTTGTAAACTCGCTTTGGCCCTGATCTGACGCCCCAGGGAGAAATCATCTCCCTTCTGGACCCTGACCCATGGAATTTTAGTGGGGTTGGTCTCTTTCAGGGTCACAATGGCCTAGGTAGGCAGAAAACCCAGCACGCCTGCATTTCCCAGAGATCCGGAGCGGAGTTTGGCCACAGGAGCTCCATTCAACTCTCACTAAAGGGAGGAGGTTCGTGGGCAATAAAGCCAGCCGCTGACCACGTCACAATTAAGCGCTTGGAACGTGCCCTAGACGAGGCCCTTAAAATTGCTAGCTAAAGCACCATAGACTGCATGGTGTCAAAAGAACCGCCCGTTTCCAGCAAGCTGTGAAAGGCAGCTGGTCTCTTTATAGGCTCCATTTATAGCTTTCTGACAACTCTTCTCAAGCCAGGCCCGTTTCTTAGAAGATGGAGAGAAAAGCCCAGTCTGGGTATCGCATCACCCTAGACACTCCCACACAGCCCTTGGTCCTATGTCTTTGGTCTGCAAAAAAAACACAACAAAGATCCTTTAAAAAAAACAAGAGGCACTCCAGAGACCTTGGTGTCTGGCTCTGACCCCATATACACACCCCATTTTGCAGCTGCACTCTTTCAGCCGGGGGGGGGAGGGACCCTTGTCTTAAAAAATCAAGGAACAGCTAGGACAGCAAGCTTTTATTCACTAACTAGAACAGACGATTGTGATTTGTCGGTGAAAAAGGGATGAGATCAAAGCGCCTTCTGGCCTAGCCTCCCTTCACAGGGTGGTCCAGCAACGCAGGGAGAATCTCTTTCCTCTCAGGATAGAGACAGGACACAGCGGGAGCCCAAAAAACCCACACATTTCTTATCTCCTTTTCAAGTCATCCATTCTGGCACCCCTAATAAGCTTGACAAACCAGCTGTGTGTGGTGTGTGTGTGTATGTGCCATGGGCTGTCAAACTGGATTTGAACCCTGTTCTCCAGAGTCCAAGACCATCGGCTTTATCCACGGCACCACACTCGAGTATCTGACACGCCGTGTGTTCTGTGCCTTCAAGTTGGAACTCAGTTTTAGTGACCCTCGTAGGGCTTCTGAGGTAATTGAGATATTTAAGGAGCGTTTTTATTAGTTCCACTCCCCCAGTGAGTTTCCGTGGAAAAGCAAGGATTTGAACCCAGACCTCCAGAGTCCTACCCCATCAATTACACCACACTGATGAGCTAGCTAATGCCTCTTCATTGGTCTAAAAAAGGATGCCCTGCTTTTAGCAGGCAACCCACAATTTTTTTTTGAACCTTAAATGTGTTTTAAACTGAGGATATATAAAACCACAGATCAACTCCTGTCCTCCCCCCCCTCCCCGAACTGCACACCCCGCCCAGCTTTTTGGGAATACAGGCCTTTCCTGTCCTGGCTCACTCAGAAGGAAATGCCTCTTCTATGACAAGGACAGCTTCCAAATGTAAGAATTATGAGCTAAAAAGAAAGCAGGGCTGTCTTTCTCTTTAAATTAAACATCCCATCTGCCCATAAACTAATAAAGCTGATGTATGAACCAGGGAAAACAGGAGAGGAATCCACCTCAATGTATTCAACAGAGTTGGGGCGAGGGGGACCTGACACCTATCATCATCTATAGTTCGCTGAAAACTCGCACCCACGCTCCAACAAAGGGAGGGTAGGGGCAGGGGTGTGTGGGGGGACCCATCCCTGATAGAGGTCATGCGCCAACCATGCGTCTAGCTTTTGCCTGACAGCATCTTTTATTAATAAGTGTCACTGTGGCTGGAATCATATCGGTGTTCGTGTAAGGTATACGTGACCTGCTGTGGCTAACGGTGGTAGATGGAAACGGTGCAGAGTAGACCTTTGGTCTAGATGGGCAGGATATAAATCCAACAAACAAACAAACAAACAAATGTTTCTCTGCCGCATTATCGCGTGTGCGACCGAGCACATGACCAAGATGGGTCCAACACCTTGTCAAGTATCCGCAATCAGCTGCAGCGGGTTACACAAATCTTGCGCAAAAGCTTAATAAGATTCTGTCCCATGTTTGTGGACTGGGCGCCTCGGTTTCTAGTTGAGGTTCCCCCCCCAGTAAATTGTACTCAAAAGATGGCTATGCAAAATGCGCTCTGTGCATATTCTTTGCCTAGGACCGTGATGGCGAACCTTTTTGAGCCCGAGGGCCCAAACTGCAACACAAAACCAACCATGACGGTCTGGAAGAGCCCCATTCCTCCAGTCACACAACCTCCAGTGGCCACCCAGGACAGTCCCCGCTCCCGCCTCCGGCTGCAGATCCTTAAAGGCGCAGGCGGCAGGAGCCAAGGGCTTCCACAGCTGGCGTCGCTATTGCTGTCTTGGCTTTCCCTCCTTTCCCAAGAATTCTTCCCAAAATCCGGGATCGGAGGATGGGTAGGTATTTCTCAATGGTGACTTAGGGCTCATGTGCCCGCAGAGAGGGTTCTGCATGCCGGCTGTGGCACGCATGCCATAGGTTCCCCATCGCTGGCCTAGGAGGTCTAAAAATCTCTGTAAAATTCCTGGGGGTTTTCAGGCGTCCTCTCCAGGATCCGACAGATGGAATGCAGTGCATGTACACATATTGATTTATGCCATCATTGCAAGCTATTAGAAGGCCATACTTCAGACTGGTATTTAATGTGCCTTGCACAAGACTTCAGGTGTAATGCCTGGACCTGAATCTGGCACCGTTTCCAAAGCCATCAATGGATATGCTCTGTGCCCACTCTCCAGATCTGCCCATCTAAAATCAGAGTTTGGAATAGATTCTGGGTCTCCCAGACCACCCCTCTCCCAGCAGAGCTGTGCAGGACAAACTCTGATCTACACCTGCTATCAAGCAGAGGAATGGGGCGGGGAAGGGGGTGTGTGGAAACGTTGTCTTCCCACCCGGTAACACACCTTGTTGAGCTCCTCCTGGTTGCCAAAGAGCGGGTGATAGCGGCGGTATTTCCCTTCTCGGTACTTGGCCACGAGGAAGTGCCTCCTCTCCTGACTGTCGCTCCTGGCGTGGATGGCCTCACTGGGGGGCACGTTGGCTGCCCAGAACTGGTTGGCCACGGCATTTCCAATCTGGAGGAAAAGCTGAGAACACAGAACACAGCGTAAATACACAGGCGAGGGTTCACAGAGGGCACGGAAATGTCGGTTTCGTTATGATTCCCCCTTAGCAAAGACGTCATGGATCGTCAGAGTGTTTGGGGATGTCTGCAGCCCTCGGGCTGAGGAGCCACCACTCTGGAGATGGCTAGAAAGGCACAACAGCCACGTACCATCCACTCTATTCAGCCATGCAAATACCGTGAGGTACTAGCCCCTCACTATTTGGCATTGGTTAGTTTGATCAGACCTTACCTGGAGTATTGTGTCCAGTTCTGGACATCACACTTCGAGAAGGATGCTGACAAATTGGAACAAGTTCAGAAGAGGGTAAGAAGGATGATCAGGAGGCTGGAAACCAAGCCCTAGGAGGAAAGGCTGAAAGAACTGGGCATGTTTAGCCTGGAGAAAAGAAGACGGAGGAGAGATAGGAGAGCACTTTTCAAAGACTTGAAAGGTTGGTTGTTGTAAGTTTTTCGGGCTCTTTGGCCGTGTCCTGGAGGTTTTTCTTCCTATCGTTTCGCCAGTCTCTGTGGCCGGCATCCTCAGAGGACAGGAGTCGGAACTCTGTGTGCTGGTGCAGTTTGTGGGATAGTTGAGTATTTATAGCTGTGGGATCAGCTTTTTGTCCTTTTCAGGAGATCGGGTGATTATGGTAATCAGTGTGTTGTTTGTTGTGGGTGTATTGTTGTGATAAGAGGGAGAGATCAAAAAACCTACAACAACCATCGGATCCCAGCCATGAAAGCCTTTTGAGAATACTTGAAAAGCAGTCCTATAGAGGAAGGGCAGGATCTGGACATGCCATCATGGACTCAAGTTATAGGAAGCCAGATTTGAATATCAGGAAAGACTTCCTAACTGTCAGAGGAGTACAGCAATGGGACCCATGATCTCACAAGGTGGTGAGTGCTCCAACACTGGAGGCATTCAAGAGAAATGTAGAGAAACTTGAATCAGGGGTCCTTAATTTGGATTCCTGCCTTAAGAAGGGGGGTTGGACTCGATGGCCTTAGTGGCCCCTTCCAATTTCATGATTCCAGGATTCCTGTGAAGAGGGGACAGGAGGGGGAAAGATCCCTAAACTCAGTTATAGAAGCCCCTAGAGCTGGCTTCCAAAACCAGAATCCTACTGAAGGAAGAGGGAATTGAAGGATGTGGCGTCCTCAGGCTCTCCTCCCCATGTCCCATCTCACACTGACTTCATGAATGGCTGTCCAACTGCAGTGGAAGAACCGTTGCATAAGCAACCAGTCTTCAGGAAAAACCGAGCACAAGTTTTTCTTAAGAGGATTCAGGCCCAGGTGCGTCAATCTACCTCTGTTTAACTAAATCAGAAAAGCAGGAAGTTGTTTCAGAAAAAAGGAAGGAAGACAACAGGAAAAGAGGAAGATCAAACATGCAATGGATTGGCCCCATAAAGGAGGCCATGGTCTTGAGTTTGCAAGGCTCTTAACAACAGGACCTCCTGAAGGCCACTATGTTCAAGGGTCCCCATGGGTTGCAGGCAACTTGACAGCAGACAACAACAAGACATCTCAGGGTCGCCATAGGTCAATGAGACACTTCTTAGGGATAACAACAACAGAGGTGGATGGAGGAGCAAGATGGCGAACCTTCAGCACTCTGGGGGCTTTGGACTTCAACTCCCAGAATCCCTAGTCTGTACGGCCAGTGACAAAGTACTATGGGAGTTGTAGTCCGAAACATCCAGAATACCCAAGGTTCTCGATCCCTGCAGGGAGTCTTGGTGGAGTTGTGTCCCCAAACCCAAGCACAGAAACACCTGGAGGAGGGCAAAGTCCATTGCACCTACAGTTATCCTCCTAGTGTGTGTGTGTGTGTGTGTGGGGTTGTCTATGAGTCTATTCCAGCATTTTCCTACCCATCGTCTTCCCATTCTCGAAGAAGATCCAAGCAGGTCTGTCGTGCGTGCATTCCCCTCTCCTGGAAATCTGCATCTCAGTGCTCTAAATTTTTAGAAACTAAATTTTCAGAAAACCGAAGGATCCTGGGGGACTTTGTGAAAGAGGCCAACAGGCCCTGCTTATGGCGAGTCCTCCTCTGGGTTTCATTTGAAATGAAGGAAGAACGGGAGCATTAATGCGAAGCCCTCTCATTCTCGTTTACAGGTCAAAGCGAGCAACCTAAGCTACCTGTGAAGAATCACCTGGGGATGCTTTGATGAGGACGTAATACAGTTACATTTAAAATGGAACTTAACAAGTGGGAACACTTTTGTTATTGTTGGGAACAAGTAACTTTTTATGTTTAAGTTACTTTTAAAGAGCATTTTGAGGAACAGTTTCAACGGAATGTTTCAAACTTTGTGTCATCCATCGAAAGGCCAAATTTGCAGATTAGCAATCAATGGGACAAGCCATTGACAACTCGCTCCCCCCATAAATGAGTTACTCTCAGGAGTTGGTACCAAGTGATCTGTAACCTTCCAGCTTTCTAAGCTGGACGCATATTTTGTGGCTCCAGAGCTAGGAAAATATATGTTTTGAGAATCGGCTTCTCCGTTTCCTCCCGTGAGCATCACCTCTGCAAATGTCACAGATAGGATTCTGAAATGGACATTTTCCAAAGTCTTGGTGGCTCCACGCCAACATTTTGTAAAAGGGTGAGAACTTTTAGCAAATAAAGCCAGAGGCGGCTTTGAGAAGCTTTCATTTGAAAAGCTTTGCAAAACTAGAAGAGAGAGAGAGAGAACGCATAAAGATGGAGAGAAAATAAGGTCTCCCCAATGTGACCTTCAACGTCATTACTAGCGCTCCCCCCGCTGCATCCCTGACTACATCCTGAACTGCCGTTGCTGGAAACCACTTTGCGCCCTATTTTTTTTCTAGGTCACCCATGAGTGCACTGACCGTGGAAAAGGGGGTGGGGGGGGGAGGGATCGATCCCAAATGGAAGCCCTCTTCTGAAAAGCAGGGCAGAATTTCTGTAAGACCCAAAGGTCCGGGCAAAGCACCAGAACCCCCCTGCCTGTCCTCCAGGACCGGCGGGGGGGCAGCTCCCTTGGCCCAGCGGCCCTATTCGAGCTCAGGAAGAGTCATTCGGAGTTGCGGTTCCAGGAGAGGAGCCGGCTAACGGGATTGCCAGGGAAGACGAGGCGGACAGAGGCCATTTTAATGAGCAAACTTGGATATCTTCCAATCCAAGGGTCCAAAGCAGAGGTCACTTTCTGCGCAGCTGGACTCAGAGGGAGTTAAGGCTACACACAAGCCGTCTTCCCAGGTGACCAAATGCAGCTGTCTTTTGTATCAAGGGCCTTCCTGGGCTGCAAAGCACAGATCAGGGTGAATGGATTTCAAAAAACAACACAACTCTTTCACCTGCTGTCTCAACAGAAGAACGTAAACAGCCTGCCGTTTTGCTCCGCAGCTTTTGTCTGCACCAGGGACAGCATCTCAGACCCAACCCAAGATCCCAGCTATTCCTGGACCACTTTTTAAAGTCTCTCCCTAGGCATTACAAAGAGATGTAAAAGAAGGGTTCGTCAAGTCAGGCATGCACCTCACATCATGCACGCAACCCCAACCTCCGTCACATCATTTCTATACCAGGAGGGAAGGAAGGAAGGAGGGAAGGAAGGATGGAAGGAAGGAAGGAAGGAAGGGAGGAAGGAAGGAAGGAAGGAAGG